CACACACACACACACACACACACACACACACACACACGCACACACTCACACATCCGTCTTTACTGTTTTCTTGCTATCATCATCAGATGTGTGTGTAAGTGATCCTGTCTTTGTGAGGTTAATTGAAGGCAGGAGCTCTGACTGTCTGAGACATAATCTGTCTGCATGAACAGTGTGCATATGTGTGTGTGTGTGTGTGTGTGTGTGTGTGTGTGTGTGTGTGTTTTAGGGGAGGGATGTCTTTAATAAGACCACACTAGTTATTTATACAAAAATAGAAAAGGAAACACACAACAACTCTTCTCTATCCCTCCACCTGCTCCCTCTCTAACTCAACTACCCAGCAATACAGATTAGCCGCGTGTGTGTGTGTGTGTGTGTGTGAGGGGTGGTGGGGCCGTTCCTGGGGATTTAGGGTGTACAAAAGAAACAAAAAAAGAAAGAGTGCTGCCATAAGGCTTGCTATTCTCTCATATCAGCTTATTATCAGTCATTTTTGACAGGAGAAAAACCTTTATCTTGGAGAGACTGTGTCTGTCTGGGCCTGCGCGTGAGCGCACACACACACACACACAATAAGAGCCACGCTCAGGGCCTTGCGGGCTAGGGCTCACACACACAGAGCAGGTAATCGGCTCACTAGTAGAGTTAGGGGGTTAGAGAAAGGAAGCAAAGAGCTCTCACTAAGTGTGTCCCCCTCTTTGACTGGATTAGAGCTCACCAGTATTCAGTCCAGGTGCTCCAGAGGACGGAGGGGTGAGGGGTCCACATAGAGTTAATTTTCCCTACCTTGTGTGAGACCACGTCCTGCTGTTTTCTGTCTGACACATCAGATATAGGGGACCTTTTCAAATAGTGGAACATTCGCTGCCGTACCTGAAAATTATATGGATCTATGCATTTTGTATCCGCGCATACACATACATACAATACATACTCATTTCCATTAATTAACAAGACGTATGCTCTTTGAGTTCCTTGGGTCTGTTGGGGTTAATTTGCAAACCATTTATTACTTTATTATCATGTCATGTCTTTATTCACGTGACGCTCACTACGCCATATGCATAATATTATTACGCCATAATTGCTGACACTTCAAGTGCAAGATTATTTCTTCCTTAAATGAAGTGATAGTGTGTTTCCATTGTTGTGGATGACAGGGGAGGAGACATAAGAGTTAATTAACTATGATTAGGAAGAGCTACAGTCACTGAACAAGCCAGGGTTCTAGCTCAATACTCTGCTCAGTAATTGCTTCCTTTACTTTCCTTTCCTTCACTTTCCTTTCCTTTCCACTCACTGCCCACTTATATTTTCCTCTTCTGTCCATCCATGCATGGGAGATTTTCCTTTTGAAGAGGAGAGCTGGAGAGCCCTCTGCTGGCTGATTGTGGTGATTCAACCACAGGCATAAAATAAGTGAACCGTTTATCTAGACTGGGGATATTAGTTTGCTGGACAGCTGGAAGTTTGTACAATTTGTATGGATTATTAATATATCTTCCAGATTTTAGTGGGTTGTGTGTTTGACTCATCAAAGTTATCCAAATAATTCAGTAGAGTCTTTTAAGACTGATATCAGATAATGGCCACATTCAAAACAACACAGTCAGACACAGAGACGCTATCATTGTGATTAAAATGGAAACCAAACCCAAGCAACAGATATTTTAAGAAATGTTTAAAACATTCTCACATTTTTAGACTTTGGATATCAAGACCTTCATCCACAGCAGACAGAAGACGACCCTGATGCTTTATTCATATTGTATTTTGAGTGTTTTCATTGTTATTCCATACAAACAGGAGGTGAAGATTAATTCCACCTTCAATTCAGTTCACTTTTATTTGTATAGAGCCAAATCATAACAGAAGTTATCTGAGGACTCTTTTAATATAGATCAGGTCTAGACCGTACTCTTTATAAAAAGTATTTTTAAGAGTTAAATGATTATTGAGAAAGGCAGCATTTGAATCTTGTCTTTGGTCTAAAGAAAGATCTGTCAACAACTGCCAGATTTCTGTTAAATTTGTTTTGAATAGTGCGGACCCCTGACCTGTGCCCCCACGAGCCAATATTTCAACTGGTGAAAAATGAAAACTAAATGGCAGATTTTCACGATATTTGTTAAGCACATCCATGCTCCTCTGAGTATTGACCCGTTTGACTTTAGCTGTGACTTTTCATCCAGTGCCACCCTCGGAAAAAAAAATTCACACTGTAACCCCGTTATTGGTTAAGCATCTAAGAATTCATAAAGTCCTGCAACTGCCAAAGTTGTAGAGGTTCATAGAGAAAGTGCAAACACTACACAGAAAGGAGCAGGCCGCTTACTGCTGTGAGGCAGTGGTGCTAACCACTGAGCCACTGATGCGACCAGTGTGTGTTGCTCTAAATGGTACCACCTGCAGTTCAGTTTGACCTTACTACCTTAACTTAAATTTCCAACTCCCCCTTTTTCAGAGTCTGAACTGTAACTGACACTTCAGCTCCTTTTAGTGTTCACAATTCAACCACGACACTATAACTCCTTTCAGCGCTTGTTCTTCAACTGATACTTTTAAGTCTGTAACTCCAGTACCAGTGAAAATATTAAGGCTTTCAACTGCATTTTTTTTGTATGATCCGATGAATAATCTTTTTTCACTGGTCAGGGAGGGAAAAAAAGCTGTTTTTCTGACTTACGCTTACAGATAATAGAGATTTGTGGTGTTCAAAGCAGTGAACAATATGTAAAACTGTGATGTTTCTTTCCATAAACAATGTTATTCTGGAACAGACAAAGACAAGTAATTCTGTAAAAAGTAGTTCCAATGAAAACTGTTCACTGTGAAGTCTGTGGATTAGTAACTGGGGGCATTGTTATGGGAAATACATGCTGCTATTGAGTTTTTTTAATCTAATTTTACCCCTATTGTTTTGGGATGGTGGCAGCAATCTCAGAGACGAAGATAAAAGAAAATATCCCTCTGCTCTGTATGGTGCTGATTTTTCTTTTCCTTATGCTCTTTTTCTTTATCTTTAAATTGTGCAGATTCATCTCTCAAACAGCTCTGTTACTATACTATTATGTGTTTTGTGCTTTTTCGCTCTTTATTCTCTCTCTTCTTGGCTTCTTCACTTTTTTTTCTTATTTTTTTATCTATCATACTGTCTTAAGGCTTCTTCAGATCAGTGGAGTGTTTCCTTGTGGTTGAAATGCTATCAAATAAAAAAATTAACTCAGATATGAGAACTCCCAGCATATAAAGCCTCATAGTTTGATATTCTTGTTTCATTGAAACACTTTTATTTAAACACTTACAGACAATTAAAGCATTATATATCATGAAATCTTCACTTAGATTAAAACTCATTATAATAAAATCTCATTGTAAATGATCAGTGACAATCATGTAAAAGACCACATCCACAATGTACCAAAATTAGAGGGTATCCTCTGACATCACAACACAGTAAACCTATCTGACCTACAGCATTTGATGGCTATAGTGCTATACTACAGCAGTACTCTGAATCTTACATAAGTCAGCTCTAGGATCAGCATATGTTTATGTGCAGTATAGTTTAGTAATTAACAATGTGTTCTGGACAGTTTGGTGGCAGCATGTGTGTGTGTGCTTGAATGTGTATTTTTATGTGTTTGATCAGTGGTTTCTTTGAAGCAAACATGCCACCCCCCCTCTCCCCTTCCTCTCCACCACTCTTGCTCCTCAGTAGAGCAGATGAAAGCTGATATGTGTGATTGAGGGTCCACCCGCTAGTTTCCACACACTGCCCATTCAGACCAATGAAAAAGGAGGATGATCTAATATTGTGGCAGTTATGATACGATCACAAGTCTGTGCTTCCCGTTTGGATAAGACTGAGGAAAGGAAATAATGTGTCATTTTGTCTGTATGTCAGCAGAGTGTCCGTTAGAGGGTTTCTGAATTTAAAGTTTGTGTTAACGCATTGGGAGGGACAGGGAAACAAACTAGTATGAAGCAGGAAAGAGAAAGGATTTTAGTGAGGGAGTGAAATGTGATTGGGGTGAAGGAGGCAGGTGGCCGGCCTGCTGTACACCAACCAAACCCACAAACAGCTGTTCATTTCTCAAAGCCCTCTTGTGCCCCCCTACAAGCATCAATTCTCTCTCTATCCCCCCTATATCCATCCGTCTCCTGCTCCACCCCCCACCCCCGCCTCTCTATCCAAACCTACCGTTTCTGTCTCCAGTCCATCCACCAGTTCCTCCCTCCCAGCTCACTCCAGCTCCAGCTATCCTACTTTGATGGCGTGCCAAAGGCAGGACAGGGGACACAGCTGGTTCACCCATACATGTCTCACCTTTTGCTCTATGGACATGTGCAGCATTAATAACATCAACAGTTTTACTGTCAGTACAATGACAGGTTGAAACTGAGTGGAAGATATTTAAACTCACAATATTGGTTTGAAAAAACAGTCTTGGCACACCATATGTTGCTCCTGGCACCAATGCCAGTATCATACACATACACACCATATTAATACCATAAACTGTAACACTCCCTTATTGTCATTATCATTGTCTCCGACTCCAAGTTGGCGTTATGTAATACCACCCTATTATGTAATAACTTGACAAACTGTAAAACATTTTCACTTCAATGTAATAACACCTGCTTTTTGTAATAAACAACATGAACACAATATGTGTTATATATTTTCCCTGCATTTTGTAATAAAATATCACATATTGTGGTTATTACAAAATGTAGGAGTTGTACTTTTTTATGATGATATTGTAATAATGTGGTACATTATGTAATGCCCAACCAAAATGCCATCTGTACACATGTTATGATTTTAACAAATAATCTAAATGAAACTTCCCAAATACCAAATTAGACTCTTATGATCTGTGGTCCACCTACTTGGAGTCATAGTTGACTCTGATAGTCTAAATAGCCACATAAAGGCAACAACAAGATCAGTTTGTTATCATCTTACAAATGCAGCCAAACTCAGAGACTTCATGACAAATGCTTTTATTTCTAGCTGGACTGACTACTGCAGTGGTCTTTGACAAAAACACCATCAAAATTCTTCAGCTTATTCAAAATGCAGTTCATAAAATAAGTGTGCCTCCCACATTTTGTAATAGCCACCACAATATGTAATTATTTATCACAAAATGTGGGGAAATGAATTACATATTAAGTTCAGGCTGTTTACTACTAAATGTGGCAGATTGTTACAAAATGCAGGTGAAGTGAAAATGTATTACAGTTTGCCGAGTTATTACATGATGTGTTGTACAACGTCTTTCCAGCCAGTATTCACATCCCACAAGTGTGCTACCAAGTCCCAATGCAGGACATAAAAAGGTCAGTCCTTTCTTCCCCTTCAGGCCAGATGGCAAGCTCACTTTCTGGCATGCAACGCACGGCCCACCAGCATGAAGACCAACCCAGAGATGAGCTCCAGAGGCACGCCGGCAGCCGCCACCATGAACGACAGGCCGTAGAGCACTGAAACCTGCGCCTGTGGACACTCCTCTCCTCTCTCCTGCAGGATGTAGCGCTTCACCTCCACCGCCTCCATCCACAGTACGTAGAGCAGCAGCGTTAACAGGAACAAGCAGGCTGGAAAGTGATATAAACAGTGCTTGGTCAGATTACTTTGAAATGTAGTCAGTTACTGAAAAGAAATTTCATGGGAATTAATGAATCCAGTGGTTCCTAACCTTTGACCTTAAGGCACTCCTTTTCTATCACTGAGTAAAGTGATAACACTCAATACGATATACTATATACTTTATACTCAATGTTTTATGATAACAGTACAGACAAACTAATAAACTGAACTTGCATTTCTCCCATGGGGTATCAATAAAGGAACATTTTATCTTATCTGTACAAAAAAAACAAATAGTGAATGCAATAACTGCAGGAAGTTTATGTCAAACAAGCTATTTGAAAACATTTCTCCTGTGAATATTGCATCAGAGATTAGTTTTCCTGATATTTTTATATATAAATATAAATAAAGAGGTTTAATACACCCCTTAACAATCTTCTGTGAAGCTTTAGTCATGAATCTGATGGATTATAAAAACATTGTAAAATCTGAATACTTTTGGATTACTTCAAACTCACACATAAAAAATATTGCATCTTATACTAAATAAATGGATGCAGCCACCAAAAAAGTCTTCTTTGCTTTAAACATCTCAATGCAAATAAAATACATTTAGGATATTCAGCATTTACAGTTGGTAAAATCAAATTACCAAATATCATTGCACATTGGAATAACATGAGATTTACCCCATTTCCCCATCAGGATCTAGACCCCAGAGGGTTATTAATAGAGCATTAGTTATCGTGACAATGTAATCAAGTAATTGTTGACAATGCTAATCTGGTCTGACTATAGTTACTTATTTTTGTAATCTTATTACGTAGTCCTGATTACACATAACCCAACACTGGACATAAAGAGTATCAGAGACACATGGAGACACAGATAGAGGCCGTCACTGCCGTGAGTAACACCAGAGGAATGCAGCTCCTACTCATCTCTACTGTTACCACGGTAGCAGTGTTTAAACCTGCTGTTGGTATAGCGACAGCACTGCAATGTGACATCTGCTGCTCTGTTTGTCATGTGACAGGTATGAACAGTTGACAGCAGCGGCAGCAATGGCTGCAACATGTGTTTGTGTCTGTAGATATACCTCTTCCCCCCTGGGAGCAGATAAATACTATGAACTCCACACATGTACACAGACTGTATTTTACCAGCAGCGATGAGGAAAGCACCACCCAGCTTGTACAGTTTGTGGCTGATGAAGGGGACGCCACAGACCAAGAGGAAGGCTCCTGTTAGAGCTGCGACCAGGCCAAGGATTATCAGCACAGTCCAGAAACCCCGAAACACTGCAAGAAATACAACCAGGCCACCATCAGAGCAGTTACCTATCCATGTATTTAGCAACCTGGGGTGACAATCTACAATTAAAGAAATCATTTTTATGAAATACACTTATAAGCTTTTTTGCCAAGAGTTAGATAGTCTTATCTGTCCATTAAATACTGTATGAAGGTACAGCCAGGAGACTTTAGTGGCTGTTTTATGGGCAAATGTCAGTTTTTTAGACTAACTTGACTACTTTTAGGTCAATACATAAATAAAGTATTTATTTTTGGCAGTGTGGAGACTTCCATTTTGGGATATGTGTGGGTTGGAGTGTTACACTGGGAGTTTTTGACCCATGACTGCAGTATTTCTAATATTCTAGCAATGACCCTGGTTTGCATGTGTAATAAATACAATATATGAACATGATCTTTGCACTTAATGCTTTCCCAATTCATTTATTTGCTTCTTAAGATGAACCCATGAGCCTTCAGCTCACTGTTACTGTATAATGCTGGTGATATTTTATTGTTATTCTCACTGTGAATGAGCAAATGCACATGGTGTATTTGTTTGTATGTGTGTGAGGAAGTTTTTTGTGTTTATGTGTGTGTACAGCTGGGTGACAAAGAAGTCACAACTTACTGAGAGTGTCTTAGTAAGGTGTTAAGCCAACACAAACCTCCAGAACAGCTTAAATGCTCCTTGGCATAGATTACAAGTTTGAGGAACTACAAGAGGGATAAAACACTATTTTTATAAGAGATATTACTTCATTCGTTGTGTTTATGATTTTCCACTCATCAGCTCTCATGCCCTGTACAGAGGCATCTGCATTAATTATGTTATTTCACTTTCATTTGTTTGTGCAGTTCTTTTCCTCCAGTATGTCATCCGTCTGTAATGTGAGTGAGTGTGTTACCTGCTGTAGCATCATAACTTGGATGAGGCACCTGTCCAAGTGCAACAGGCAGAGGGAAGAGGTAACCATGGACACAGACCTTGGATTCTGGCTGGTTTGCTGCAAAGAAAAGGTAAAAATAAAAACAATTTAAGCCTCAAAAAACTTCCAGAGTCAAAGAAATATGATGTGGTTCTAAAGAAAGGAGACATGCACCATACAGGGAAAAATAAGAAACACCACATGAGAGCAGAATTTAGAGAAAAGCCAAAAACACCCCAAATGCCAACACAATCTTCTTGTTCTCCTGTATATTTTCTGTCAAATATCCAAATTATAGACATTTTTCTTTCCTGCACTTGTCAGCATGTCAAGCACACCACACCACGGAGCATGAGACATGCAACCACATTGGACAAGCCCCAACGAAAACTTTTTGCCGCCTCAGAAGGCCCACACATACTGAAGAGAGTGGCCAGGACTGCATGGGCTGTGGGCTCCACCTGAAACACACAGCGCCAGAAGAAGCCCTCGTGGTGCAGAGTGAGAGACGGAGGAGAAGCAGTGACAGCTTCCACTAACAGGCTCTAAATGAGAAAAAGAGACAGACTGACATCAGCAGACAAACGACAAAAAGAGATGGACGTGTGTAAAGATGGCTGAACCTTAATTTCTGTCAGCTTTGTCAACACGTCTCTGCTGGCTGCTCCATGTGATTCTGTACTTCAGTGGTGCCATGGCTTCAAACGTGGTTCTGATTATGGCCTGCTCGTCTGTGAGGTTTTCAAGGGGAACTTATGAAACACGCATGAGTGATACTCTCCATTTGCTTGTCAGAAATATGATTGATGGTGCTGAATAACACGCAGCAACTTTAATCATCCGCTTTTATTTAAAATGAAAGACTTTTTGTGCTGTGATCTTAGGGAGGAGTTCACCGGGGGATTAGTTTTTATAAATATATCCCTTATTTTGCATCTTGTGACCTTTCTCACAAATGTGGCATAGAAGAATAATATGTAAAATTAAAGGGGAACTCCACTGAGTTTACTCATGAAGATCAGTTGACTACAGTGAGGAAAGAATTATGTGATGGCCCCGGAGGAGCTTAGGCAAGTTTGAGAAACTACCCTTGATGAAATCATCAGGACTATTTTGACTCGAAGAGACCAGAACTGAGTTTATTTGACAGTGCAGAGGGTGATCCAGGCAGATTGTAGTTACATGGAATACCAAACCTGTTGTTTTATATACAGTAGTACTAAATTGATTTCTCAATTATGTTGTTATAATAGAGGTTTTTTGAGTGATTGAAGCGCTACATGAACCACACAGGAGTCGCAGGGAGAGGGTCAGGTCCAGGGTTTCACATCCAGAGACCCGTCTGTGTTTAGGTTTAGGCAACTCTGATTAAGGTTAGGGAAATATTGTGGTTAAATATGAATTAATACATTGTGTCTCAAGTCATTGCTTACTTTTTCTATATTAAACCAGATGACAATCTTTCCCTAACCAAGTTGCCTAAAAATAACCATAAGTTTAATAATGCAGTAGTCACTATAAAATGATCCTGTATGTAAACAGTGTTGTGAATGCATCTTAGAGCCCACCAGGGAGTACACATATTTAGCCATGCAAGCCATTACATGAGGACTGCAATGTCTGGTCAGGTTCCACCACTTTGGTCCAGAGTTAAATATCTCAACAACTATTGGATGGATTCTTATTAAATTTGTATGGACAGTCACAGCTCCTCCCACTGTTGAACTAATGTCCTTTCTATAAGCTTCAGCCTTTGTGTTTACTGCTAATCAACAAATATAATCATGATAACATAGCGTGCACCACACATAGAGGGTCTGAAAAAAAGATGCGATTTGCTGCATGATTGGAAGTTTAGTGTCCAGTGTTTTTGGAGTTTGGCCCATACTAAAAGTCACAAAAGTCAAACAAAGAGTCTGGGTGTCTTGACCTTTGCTGCATTGATTTGGTCCATTCTCTTTTAAATCTGTTTCTCCAAAGTCCCAAAACTTAAGACTAAAATATTTTGGTAAATGTCCTATAGTGGCGTAGCGTGCACACTACTGTCTACATAATATCTGATCATGTTCCACATTGGTCATTTGTGGTCTCACATGTGATATTTCAGTGATAAAAATAATGCACTGGTGTGACTATTATTATTTGTTGGAGGTCACACAGCAAGTAGTGAGGTTTGCCTTCACTGTATTTATTTATGTGAGTGAATGTCAACAGCTACGTACACTCATGTTTATGTCCTACCTCAGTCCCATTGGCATCTTTTTCTAGTGTTTTTTGCGTCGGCCATGTATACGGTCCACAGTTGTCGCTTGCCACCAGCCAGTAGTCTGTACCAAAGGCTAGGAAGAAACACAGAGTCCCTAATGCCCCAAATATCCCCGCAGCCAAGGTTGCAGCGCCCACCCTCATAACTCCAGCCTAAAACCTCCTTTACTGTGCTCTTTCTCTTCAGCTTTCACTCTTCTGGCCAGTAATTCCTCAGGTCCCTACTGGTGTCCACTCTGCAATCCTCTGCCCCAGTCCTACAGAAAACAGCCTGGCTCTCCCAGCCACTCCCTGGCATGCTGGGAGCTGTGGTCGAAAGACGTTTCAGTAACTGAGGAGGTCAGGCAGGGGGGCAGGAGTTATTTTAGGAAGCAGTAAGCCTGTCCTTGTCAAATTACAGATGGGTGTGTGTGGTGCATTTATAAATGAAACAAGGAGAGGCAGGATGGTTTGTGTGGACAGTGAGTATCAGTATTTATGACTGCAAGGTATTTCTAAGGGAGGTGTTACACTTGGAGCGCCACTTTGAAAATAAATTAGACTAGAGATGCAAATGACCCTCAAACCCTCTTCTGAAGGTGTTCAGGAGGTAAAACAGAGTTAAGGAAAGCAGTAGCTGGCAAAAACTCAAAATGATAAAACCAGAAGTTGAATTAGTTATTCAATTATTACAGTTTTAATTGGAAGATGACCATGAAATTGATAAAAGCTTTCATCAACCCAGTCTTCAAAACCCACAACTCTATGGCTGAATAAATATGAGGTATCACTTTATGGAGCCAGTTTGAAATGACTGAACACACTGAATTCATTGGTTTACTGTCTTTCTCACAGTCTGTCTTCATTGCTGCTTCTCGTTCTCCAAAACAAAGCTCAGTTGTTTCTTAGGAGCTCTTCCCACAGGCACTTGGTGGTGTGGAGAGATCTGGTCCTCTCTGGCGGCTGAAGGCTTTGGATCCACTGGCCCCGTCTGAGCTGAGGCTGCTGGTGCTGATAGGTCCTGGAGGACAGGCCTCGGGCTTGTGGAGCAAACTGCCAAGAGAAGACCCACAGTCAGAAAAGTCATACTAAAGCTGCCAAATATCAAGAGGTAGATAAGGGAGGGACAACTTGATATGCGCCTGTATTCTTATACTGAAAGCTTGAGAGAAAGCAGAGGAGCGGAGAGACAAACTACTAGAATTGTGCATGAATACAAACAGTTATTTCTTGAGTTATAATTTTAGCTTGAACAGTCTTTCTGTTGAACTCCCTGACATCCCTTTACCAGTGATTGTCTTATCCCACTGCAGTGTCTTAAATAAAGACACATAAGGAAACACATCATACATAAATAAATACATGTTTGGGACCTCAGTCTGGGATAAAGGTTGTAAACTTGAAGGAAAAACTGCAGATATTGTCTAATATGTGGTTTTTGTACATCTGTAGGACTTAAATTGTCTTTGACTTTACCTGTGTGAGACCTGTTGAGTCCTGGTCTCACTCTGCGTGAGCCATTGAACTCATCCTCCCCCTGTCACAATGGAAGTACACAGTAAAACCATTTGTGTGCTTGATAGTCCAAAAAACAAAAAGTAACCTAAAAAAAAGTCGCATTTATTCTGTTTTAAATAATTCTAACTCAATCAATTTGATGAATAAATTAAACTCAATCAATTAAGCTCACTGACACACTCATTCTTTGAGTAAAGTGGCATTTTCTTGACAGGACATAACATTGTGATTTATACTATTAATACTTAAAAAAAGAGATTTTGTCATAAATAAATGAGTTCTTTCATGAAAAATAAGTGCATACTTATACACACAAACACATTTAAAAGTTAAAACACATTGTCAAGGATAAAATCATTTTGGCGTTACTTTATATGGATACAGTACCTGTGGCCAGTGTGTGATTGTATTATACGTGTATCTCTCTCCCAGACTCTGGTGTCTGTAAAGAGGCTTTCTCGTTCTTTCTGTGGTGGCGTCCTGGTGCAAAGTGTGTCTGCTGTAGGCTGGTGTTTGCTGGAGTGACAACACATGCACAAACCCAAATAATAGGGGGATAGTTACACATACCTACAGTGCATGTTATCATGTAATCCCTTAGTCAAAACATAGGAACACAAACCAAAGCTGTGAATTTACCTTGTTGTTGAAGTTTTGAAGGTTTCTGGAGAGAATTCGTCTGATGCTGTCCATCTCCTCTGGTAAGAGGGGACGGCTGTGGGAGCGAGGGTCCACTCTAAAAGTGAGGTGTGAATATTCATAGCCATTTGGTCAAAAAACTATGTCATGAAGACTGACATTTAATCAGTTTTCAGTGACAAGGGATTCCCACAAACATTTTGTGTTGTACCATGGTCCACCACTGGGGGACAGATTTGAATTGGCACTTATAACATTGAAGGTCATAAAACTTTTCTTAGGTTTTTTAGGACCCTCATGGGACTCATTCAGTGAAGTCCCAGAGATCCGTGAATCCTACTACGAGAGACAGTGACATAAATCAAAAAAGGGTTTTCTCACACTCGTGGCGCCTCCTCGTCTCCCCTCTGCTCCCTTCTCTCCAGCTCCTGGTAAACTCTGAGGATGCTGGAGCGAGCCTGGTGATCCTCACGTATCAGGAAACGACGAAGGTACTTCCTGTTGAACTGTTCAAACCTTACACACACGCACAAACAATATATATACATTACAGTTACAGGTTGACATTATCACAGTCCTGACTGTGAAAAATGATCAGAAACTTTTGCATGTGGTATCTGCTGCCATCTACTGGTAGTTTTAGGTCTTATTTTTATGGGAAACAAAAGCAGAAGGTGAACTCAAAGTGAAAAGATACAAAATAAAGAGAACTAACTTGTCTTTCCAGTAGTGTTGTCCCCAGTATCCAACCACATCCTCGATTCCTGCCAGCAGGTGGTCAATGAGCTTAAAGGAGACATGATGGAAGCATATAATTCATATTATTATGCTCTAATGAAAACATAGTTGTGCATGTTATTATTGTTATTAAGTTACACACTTGACCTTTAATGTAATCTCACTATGTAATCTTTATTACTATAAAAATAGCTGAGGTGTATGTTGCACCTCAATGAAAAGACTTTAATCTCTAATTACATCTGAAATACACCATACTAATAACACATAAACAGTATATTTTTTATTCCCTAAAGACCATATTGCAGGCTATGCTGTCTTTTCTCACCCTGCTGTGTATCTCCTCACTGACAGTAGGCAGAGCTCTCTTCTTCCTCTTCACATCCAGCAGCTCCACTAGTGGCTTAATAGTCATCCCCTGGAAACCAGACAAAACCAAACTCAACAAATACAACCAAACATTCCAAACAACCATGAAGCCAAACAAATGCAATACAAAGAAGAACAACTACCATCTGAAAATACAGAAACTTATCTTATTATTAAAATCTTTCACCTGTACAAAGACAGTGAAGAGGATGACCACGATGGTAGTTGTGATGAAGAGTCTTTTCTTTGGGAAGTCATCAATCAGGAAGACGAGGGAAAAACAGATCGCCCCTCTCAGGCCTCCGTAGGCGATGATGAATTGATCTCGAAAGGTCACAGCGTTCCTCCGGAGTTTGTTCACCACAGCAGTCAGCAGGAGAACTCCTTCAAAGGACAGGAAATGGGTTAATACCTCTAATTTAACAACTGTTTATCAAATGTATCTGGCCAGAGCATCATTGTTAAGTCATCTGTTTTTTGTTCAGGAAAGGTTTTTAAAGCTACCTGTGGCCCTCCAGACGAGACAGAGCAGCAGCGTGGAGCAGACAAAGGGCCAGCTCCACATATGGACATCCTGTATTGTGGACACGCCCAGGAAAATGAAGATCAGGGTTTCACTGACGCTGCTCCACATCTTCAGGAAGTACTGGATGCTAGTTTTGCTGCGCTCGGACACATTAGCCTCCACATACTGCTTCATGGTCACAGCACAGGTCACAATGCTGCAAATGTGGGTAAAAAACAAAGTATATATAAGACATAATAAAATTTTAGTAAGCTACACATTTAGACTTTCCGTTTGAAGTTTATACTCAGCAGCACTCACGCCATGATACCAGAGAGGTGAAGCATCTCTGAGGTCAGGTACGACAAGTAGGAGTAGAGGAAGACAAAGAGCGGGGCAATGACCTGGGCTCTAGAGGTAAATCGTGAGGTGAGGGCTGCCACCAGGCCAAAGAAGAGGCCAACAAACAGGCCGCCAAGGCCTACCACTACCACCCTGCATCCCCCCAGCAGCACATCAACCCCCGACACTGACGGCAAACGCAGGAAGGATTCAAACAGCTTGTAGAGGACCTGGAAGGAAGAGAGATGTATTTTGTACGCACAGAATAGGTTTATTTTATTTTATTTTGAGACCACCTGGTGTCCACCTCTCCCCTCACCACAGTAACGGCGTCGTTGAGCAGTGACTCTCCAAACACCAGGATATGAAGCTGTTCGTTAACATGCATTTCCTGGAAGACGGAGAGCACGGCTACGGGGTCGACGGCAGCGATCAGGGAGCCAAACAGCAGGCAGTGGAGCAGAGAGACGTCACCCAGAGAGCTCTGCGCCAGCAGACACACACCGTACAGAGACAAGCCGATGCCCAACACGTTCCATAAGGTTCCCAGCACTGCATACCTGGAGATAGATACAAAATCTAAATTTACAGGAAACAGGAATGATACTGCTTGGCAAGGTGGTCAAGATAACAAAGAATACTTGAAGCCAGGTGTCCCCAGTATAACTTTTCCCTCAAACCTCCCTTAATTGATTATTTGGTCACTTAAGCACAAGAAACACAGCATACAACTCTGATATGTAATCGCCTTAGTTGATATGGTGAATTCTGAAAAAAAAACTGTCTACTAATATTTTAAAATGTTTAAGAAAAAGTGTATTCAACAGTTTTTGTCTAACACACACAACACTAAGATTTAAAATACTGATTGTGTACTAACCAGAGGATGGTGCCGAGGTTTTCAAAGAACAGCCTCCCTGGCAGGAAGTATCCTGCGTCCAAGACGATGGGCGGGAGCAGGAAGAGGAAGAAAGCATCAGCGCTGAGAGTCGGGGGAGCAGAGTGGCGAACACCGTAGATCACCCCTCCAACCAGGAGACCCACCATAATGAGGAGACAGCTCTCCGGGACGACTGCTGGGACTCGACCTGACCAGTGGAAACCTGGAGGTGGGAGACAGAGAAGATAAAAGGATGTCATGCTAATTGGATTCAACAATGTGGTGACTTTTTGAGCTGCAAGAATTTTTACTCTGTCACTGGCTGA